TAGTGACATTGCACTCTTAAGAACAGCTGTTTCAAACATTTCAGAGTCTGAACATCCGTATGGCTTTCCATGTGCTGAATGCACCTTCTTGTGTGCAGGAAGCCAAACCAGTGCCTGACTCCCCTTACCCGTATCATCTAGATCTGCGAGAACCAGAAGTCTGTCCTGGCTTCCAGGAAAACTGTCACTATACTTTCTAGTCTCGTGAGTGTAGTTCAGAGTCGCTCTTAAACGAGAAAGAGAGCTTGGGCTGAGATGAGAGGAGTCGGAGAGGGCCAGCGGGGCAGCCCCTGCCCACCACAAGCTTTCCTCTAAAGACCCACATCAAGCACAGCCCCACTTCGTGACCGATGGTGCTGCATTCACAGAGGCCAGACGCCCTGCGGTCGCTGTCTGCCTTTCGTATTCCCACTGCGCTTGTTACGGGAGCATGGATTTATTGGAGAAGGATCTGGTGGGGATGGAGGGAACCCATCATGGCCCACTACAGCTTATGGGGGGGGGGGGGTCAGTTTTGGTGTGTTACAGCAAGACGAATTGCCTTGAATCCACTTTGACAAGAGGGCAGCTGTAGCGTTTAATGAACGTTTACCTTCCAAATTTGTTGCCAAGTTTGACGCACGTAGGTGAGTGCTGCTTCGGTGCTGGGTCACCGCAGTATGGAAGTGCAAAACTTGAGGTTTTACATATTCTTGGTGTTCCCTCTGGGCCTGAGCGATGCCGTTCTGCCAGAGGGCTCTGCGTGGTGGTAGATGGTGTTTGTCACAAACGCCTCAGTCTCTCGAGTGCTCGAAGGCGTTCAGGAAGGCAGGAAAGGAGACCAGCGTTGTAAAAAGATTATCAGAAGCTTCTGTGTTTCTTGGAGAAATTCATCATCTATTCTTGTTATCTGTGTGCCAATTAATGGGGGCTTGTAATTTCTTTTTCTCCCTCATTCACCCTTTACTTGGGAGGGGTTTCTCTCCACAATATGTTCTTTTTTCTTTTTTTCCTCTGACAAAGGTTCTCTAACATACAGATTTGCTCTTCTATTCTTGTTTTACCAGCTTGTATATCCAGGCTTACTATTGCCCTGTTTTGAATCTCCCCTTCTGTTAGTATTTTATTGCAGCTATTCTTGCCTTGAGATGGTGATGAGTAGTTGGGATCCATCTTTGTGTTGCACTGCCCTGATTAAAATTGTTAACAGAGAAAATGGGTGTTTTCTTGAAAATAGAAAGAGTTAAGTGGGAGCCAGATTCATCATTTGGTCCCCATCTTTTTTCGTAGCTAACGCACAAATCAGAAGCTTGTAGCAATCTTCTGGCAGCAGGACACACTTGTCTCTGTCTCTGGGAACTATAAACTTGTGCAGTGTTTTTGCTGACTCTCACGTACGCGTCTCTAACAATTTATATTCTGCTGCTTGTACTTGAAAGCAAAACTCTGGGAAAAATCTGTTCTGCTTTACGCATGCATTGAACTTGGCGAGATGGCTGCTCTTATTTCATGTATTTCTTAGAGAGAGCTTACTGAAAGAAAATACAACGCATAGGACCATTTCTTTGAAGATTGCTTGGATCATGTGATATTTGCTTGAATTAATAGGATGACATAGATACTGCATTTCGGCAAGCTATGTGTTTCTTGAAAATGCAATTTAAAACTCTGAGTTGTTTACAGACAGCCTTGTACCCCATTTACTGTCTGTCCCCTGCAGCTTGCTGTGATCTGCAATATTTCTGCTTTGGAGAGCAATGTATTGCTCACGCTCTGTCATCCAGCTCAGCCTTGCTTTGTGGCTGCATCAGACTTGCCATCTCCTTTCAGTGAATTTGTTTGCTCTTTCTTTCCTCCATCCCTTTTAGCACACTCAGGTCTCTTAAAATTCAGCTTGTAAGCAAAGCGAAGCATCACCTAAAATTGTAAAATCAGTCTTTACCCTCCCTCCCCCTCCAAAGGAAAAATCAAAACATAAAAAAAAACGAAGTAGGGGGAAAATGTGATTGAATTGCCAGCAGGTATGGTGTCTGCTGTTTGCATTTGAAATATCTGCAGCACCACCACCTTCTTTCATCGCCAGGATGACTTGTAGAAACCAGCTATGTCACTGCAGCGGCTCTGTCGACTTGTTTCAGAAAATTCAGTTATCTCATGCTTGTGAAATGGCTTTGGGTGAGCTCCAAGAGGTGGGGAATTGTGTAAATGGAAGGAAACCAAAAGTTAGCAATCAATAAAGGCTGCAGCCCAAACTGAGCCACCCTGACTGGCAAAACGTGCTTGTCTGAAGATTAGTTCGCTGTTACAGGTTGGACACCCAAAATTGCTAATGATGATTTAACATATTCATATTTTTATATAAATTGTGGGAAAACAGAGGGGGAAAAAAGTGGGAGGGTGACGGGGTAAGAGACACAAAATGTTTTTTCTCTTGCTGTATCCGTACGCTCCTGTATGCAAAGCTGTAGCTAAACACTGAAACGAGGGAAACCCTGCAGCCTCGCTGTGCTCCTGCAAACCTGACCCTGCCACAAAGCCGCCCTCGCGGCTCCGCCGCGGCCTGCCTCCTGGTCAGCAGCTGATGCTGGCATGTTTCTCCACAGATTGGCCTAACCTTTTTTGAAACTACTTTGAAAATTGTTTTGGCCTCTCTCACATCCAGAAGGAGGGAGTTCACTATTCTTCCGTGTGCAAAAGCACTTCAGCCGCTGTAAGCGTGGCCTTGTGTGGCTCACACGTACCAGGAGTGTTCCTGAACAACCACGATGTGACCCACTGCATACGTGCTGCTGTATGAGCCAAATTCCTCCTCAGGCAAAGGCAGGTCTCATCTTCCCTCCTCTTACTCCTGTTGTATGTATGTAGCTCCTACACGCGTGTGTCCTCGCTGCAGAGTGTGAAACGTGAATTCCATTGCTTCAAAGCTGTTGCAGTAAAATGCCTGCCTTACTTAGCTACAAATTTACTTGGTTTATGTGTTTCAGGAGCCTTTTTTTTTTTTTTTACTGCTGCTCTGAACTTCATTTGCAGTATATTTTGCAAATGCATTCTTCCTGTAGGTGGCTTATTACTTCTGGATGCTGTGTGAATAGCAGCTATTCTACTTGTGTCAAAAGCTGCAGAAAATGCTTATTGTTTCCTTAATGTGCCATTACCTGGGTAGCACATATGCGCTGCATAAAGGAGAGCAGAAGAGAACTACTTGTCTGCAAAATTAGGAGTTACACAGCTTCCATTCATCAAACAGCAGCTTTTTTTTATTCATGAAACAGCAAGTTCTTGGGAGGCAATCGTACCTCTGAATTTTAGGCGCTTCCTGTGTTGGCGTATCCATCACAGCTAGTGTGTCTGTCGGGATAATCAATGGGAAGAAATGAGCTCCTCTGCAGTGCATTCACATGAGCTGTGCTGGAGGCTCTTTCTGAAGGTGATAAATTGTCCCCTGGAAGTGCAGTTCAGTGAGCCTGGCCAGCTGGGATGTAGACATCTCCATTGTAGCCAGCTCCCAGAGCATGATTCATCTCCTCCAGAAGTCTGCAGTGCAGGCTTCTCCAGCACGGACAATCGATCCTCCGCATTCTCCTCGTACTCTTTGGAGATCAGGGGAGTTCGGGGCATGATTTATCAGGTCAAACACACCAGTTTTGGGCGAGAAGACTCTCACGTGTGCCCCACCAACGCTTGAAGTGCGAGGAGGCTCCCATGGACTTACCTCCAAAGAGTGTGAGGAACCCCCCGTTAGGTGATGTGTCTCTGAGCTCTGGAGGTCAAGTCTGCATTTGGCCACACACCTAAATCAGCGCTGAACGCAAGATCATGAAGGTGGATAAAAGCCATCATGGCAGGTGATTGCAGAATGATCCCAATTTTGTGATTCTTTGAGGTTTTGTCATAGTGCAGCAACGTTTGTAATCTTTCTAATAAATGTCTTAACTTCCTGGATCAGATTTAAAATCTGTTCAGCCCATTACCTTTTATGTAAAAGTGGTCTGTAGTGGAGAACCAGGAAGAGGGTCCAAGGACAAAGTAAGCGTATTCCCTGAATGATCTTCATCCCTCACTTGGCTAATTATTCTTTGAACATATCTAGATCTTTGAAACTCTCTTAACCTGTGGCAGTGATAGACCTACAAAAGAACATTTCATTGCAGGCACCCTCATCCTTGTACAGTGAGAGGTATTAATAATAATTCCCTATGAACCAGGCTGAAGAGTCCAATCTAATTAATCTTCCCTAAGATGGAAGCCACTCCACCGATATGGAAATCAGACTTACTGCTGTGCAATCCCTGACTCTGCAGGAGCACTGCTGAATTCCTCTCCGGTTCCTCCGCAGTGAATGCCGGTTCAGTTTATATATTTTTATGTGAATAATTCTTTTGAAATCTTCCCAGTTTAATGAAATCAACTGGTGACCAGCTCTGTATTTTAACTGTGTGTTTTTCAGTATTAAGGGACTCCGTTTACTCTGGTGTGTGAAGGTTACTACTTTAATTTCATGGCTTTTTTTCAAGGTGTTTTGTCTTCATACCTGCAGTTCAGCCGGTTTCCAGCATGATGGGTTTCATATTGATGAAGACAGCAGATTGCAGGAATATGATCATGAATATAATGACAGGAAGGAGGGTCTGAGGAATGTGCCAGTGCAGGATTTCTGCTCTTGAGATCTTTATCTGAATGAGAGACAGTTTGTGGGTTGAGGGTTTTTTTTTTCCTAATGATGCAATAAAACACGGAATGGGGCAAATATTGCACTAAATAGATGCACCTTTTTTAACAGAACATGTTTAACTCTGTAGAGTTTATTTAGAGATTCTAGGGAGAACGTAATGTGAGCATTTGTGTATCCTGTGTTCATGGGAAAGTTGTCCCAAAGCAGAAGTTGATGGTGGTCTTGGTAGATGGAGCTGAAATGATTCTTGTCCATATGAAAGAGAGTAATACCTCAGCCCTGGAGGTTGCAGAGACAGGAAGGCAGAGCATCTGTTTTTATTTTAACCTCTTCTGCCCTTTATTTTCAGGTCTTATCTGACTCCGGTGCGGGATGAGGAAGCGGAATCACTGAGGAAGGCACGATCCAGGCAGGCCCGGCAGACTCGCAGGTCTACACAGGTGAAGAATGGAAATACCTGTGTTGGTGTGTAGGACAAAGAGAGCTGATGAATAGAGAGGCAAAATTTCCTTCTGTATTATTACTTAGGACGAGGGGCTTGTCTGCCCTCACACTGTGGTGAGGAGGTTCTGGCAGAAGTTCCTGCAAACAGGAACTACAAAATACTCCCCCAAGCATACACGGGTTAGATTTCAAAGTTCTCGTTTCTGCAGTGTACCTGCTTATTAGTCTGTAGCTTGATCGCGTATATTTGGGTTGCTTTGAGTCGGTGATTATGTGGGTATGCTGAGAAGTGTGTGGAAGGCAACAGAAGCCTTGCCTTTCTGTTAGCAGAGGTGAAATATTTCGCCTGGCCAGGTCTGAGCCTGCTGGGCATTTTAAACTGACATCTAGTTGCAAAAATGTAAAAATTCTCTCTTACTTTCTCTCCAGGGTGTGACACTGACAGACCTTCAGGAGGCAGAGCGAACCTTCAGCCGGTCTCGGGCAGAGCGGCAAGCTCAGGAACAGCAAAGCGAGAAAGCTGAGAGCACCGAGCCTGCTGAGGACAGCAGCGAGAGGCAGGAGACCCGGTCACGGTGGAGCAGAAATACGGATGAGGAGGTGATGCTTCTGGCCTCAGTTCTCATTGTTTCAGGTTTAATGAAACCATTTAGGATAGCTGCGATCAGGAGAAATTCTTTTGGGGATGTCTGTTTATTTTAAGGGGGACAGGACAGACTTGCTGGAAAGAAGTAGTACTGGGGAGTAGTACCTCACCTCAGCGATCTGCGTGAGGGATGTGGGTGTGTTAGAGGTTAGCTGTTCCTTTGCTTTCCACTGGGAATGTCACTTTTCTGTCCCTTGCCAGAAAATAAAACTGTGTAAATCACAGAAAGTGGAATGAGAAGGCTAATGATAGAAATGTGGCCTGGATCCATCCTTGCTGTGCAGACTGGGCTGAGGCTTTGTGTTCAGGTTTTTCCACAGATGTTCTGTGCGGAATGGAAAGCTAGAGAGACCTGTTCCCTCCCCCTGCCTTCACTTCGGGCTTTTTACTCTAAATCATTCATTTCTATTAGGTAACTTGTTTGACCCGCCATTGGCTGTGGGGACAAAGAGGTTGATCCCAGACCTCCCAGCGATGGGAAGGTGCTCTCGCATGTAACTGTACAATGCTTTTAACATTCATCCCTGTCTCATGGAATGAACCTGATCTGGCAGATGGAGGTGATCACTTCCAGCAGCAGTGAAGAAAACATTACACTCTAAAAGACTACCCAGTTCCCTGAAATCCCGAATCTGCTAGATCCTCTTCATTCTACTAACTTTTTGTCATGGTTCTTTGTTTATAGACTGTCTATCGGCGATTAAGGTGCCCAGTACAACCAGACAAACCTACGACACCTGTATCTCCTTCGACATCAGCACCTCTGCTTTATACAAGTTCATACCTGACTCGAACAAATAAATATCTAGGTCTTGACTCTGTGAATCCAACAGACTTTAGAGGTGCAGCCACAGAGATGGAGAAAAATGGTATGTGCCCAGCAGAATGAGGAACAGCCAAAGCTCAGGGATTTTCATGAGTTTCAGAACTCTCAATGTGTACAGACAGAGAAAGTTTACTTGTTATTTTGAGAGGAGCAGTATGGGGAGCTGCCACCTCACAAAACGAATGTTATTTGTTTTAAGTGGAAATCCTAACGTAGGGTACAGCTTATTGCTTGTAACAGAGAGGGATAAAAGGATGTTTTCTGTTTTGGATAAGTAAATGAGATAGTAATCCATGGAGCATTTAGATCTTAGAGCTGGGGGGAGCGATTCCCCTAGTACAGTTTGTCCTCAGAACGGGAGTAAGTCAGGATGATTTGGGGAGAGCTGACAGCTAGGCTTTGATAAAGGAAGGAGTGTGAGTAACCAGATGTAGCAGGGCAGATTCCACTTCATTTGGTTTAATAACTCCTTTGTAATGTAACACAAGCCAGGTTGGCCTTGATCAGCTTGAAAAGAACCCCAGTACCTTAGCAAAAGCACAGATGTAAATCACTGAAACCAAAGCAGTCTTTCTTTGCTTGGCCAGAGTGTGAAGAGCAGGATTTAGACGACAGATCTCTGAACAAACAGTCAATCCGAGAGAGGCGGCGGCCAAAAGAGAGGCGAAGAGGCACTGGCATCATTTTCTCCACAAAAGATGTAAGTTTGAGTTCCTTAGAGAAGAGAAACTCATTCTGTAATATTCAGGGTGAATTTCCTTCCAATCCCAAACGTCAGGGTTTTTTCCAGGTCAGTTGATTTCCCATTAGTCCTTCCCTCTCCAACTCTGTTTCAGACTGGCACTTCCAAAGGAATCGCGTTCCTGTTTGGCCCATACAAAACCCAAGCAGCCGGCTCTGGGAGGCCTGTTCTTGAGCCATAAATCATTGTGATCCTTGCAGAATTATGAAAGAGCCCACATGGGAGAAGAGAGATAGGAAGTCTAGTTTCTTTGGAAGAAGGGTCACGAGCCACTGGAATTATTTTCAAATTCCTCTGAGCCCAAATTTGGCTATGCTTTAGGCCCCCTAAAAGGAAGACAATGAGGAATAAAACCTGTGTCTGGATCCCCTGCCCAGCACCAGAGAACACACACAGCGTAGATGCAGCAGAGCTGTCTGTGTCCTGGTCATTTCTCCTAGTCCTGGTTTCAAAAGGATTTCTTTGGTCTGAGGGAAGAAATCCAGCCCTCCAGATCTTGGTTAGAGACTCAGGTAGGGAAACAGATCACCTTTTTCAGGAGAGAAGAAGTGTTAGGAAGTCATGGTTAAGAAGTCTGCAACAATTCTAGTCCAGCTATGGGCACGTAGCCTTCTTTGTACACCTCAGGGGTGAGACTTCCTGCACAATACAATGAAAAAAACCCCAGTGGTCTTCCCTGTGGCAACAGTAGATATGTTGAATATATGGAGCTACAGACGAGTTGAATGGCCCTGCTGGAAACATCAGAATTTCTATTGAAAGACTTGCTGCAAACACCCCTTTTTATTATTTTCAAATGATTCTTACTTTTTTTTTCACTTGCATGCCAGATGTGATTTTTTTTTTTTTCCTTTTTTGTTAAATGCTTTACAGCTTGCCCAGTTGTCTACTGGATCATTATAGCAATAGTGCTAGCTTTAGAGCAGAAGGCAAATCACTTCCCAGAGTTTTAGTTCCTTTCCCCATTGTCTCTATACAAAACTACAGCTGCAGCATCTGAAATACCTTGGGTTCAGTGTGGAGTCAGAGGCGATGCTATGGTAGTTTATACCTCTGAAATCCTGGAGCTGTTACGAAGAGGCAGCAGGTCACAGAGAGGCCGCATAAGTGCAAGCTGTCTGGGGTGACTGATCTCCTCCTGGAGTCTGTTGGAAGTGGAGGGTGTCCTTTGAAAGGCAGCGTTATGTGCACGTTTCAGATATACACTCTTCCCAAGTGTCACAGCGTTTGCTCCCTAAGTACGTTAGGAGCGTTACTCCTTCTGCTGACTCTGCAGGAACATTCAAATTGCAGTAGCCAACTGTAGAGAGTTAGTTCTGTCCCAGTACCAAAATCTAAATGGCCATTAGGTTACCAAACGTGATCTGATAATCAGCCAAAAGCATCTAGACAGGCATTTCTTTCGACAGAATTGTTCTTAGCTTTAATATCAAATCATAAGCAATACGTTATCTTCCTGAGGCAAAACTTTGTTGTCTCCAAGGCTGCCTAGTTATATTGTTTGCTTTTCATCCTAGGATGATGATGAAGTTGATGGAAATGAGGAAGTGAAGGAAACTCGGGTAAGTGAAAACATATGTCTAAATAGTTGGTGTTTCACTCTCGAGTGTTGGTGGCAAGAAATCTTCTGTGGCTTTATTCGTGTTTATACGAGAGGTTCAGGCTCTGTTCAGGAGCTGAGTACAAACTGGGAGGTAGTTCTGCGTAGCAAATTGCTCGCTGATTTCTCATCTGAGAGACAAAGAATATCTACAGACTGGGCTAAGTTCAAAAGTTGGCTCTTTGAGAGCTGCATAGGCAGTTCTCAAGCCTGGAGGGACTGCGGCAGAAGCAGGGGTCAGTGCCTTACTGAGGGCACTGTCAGAAGCTGCGATGGCTGCGGAGTATAGCTGTCAGGTGTCCCGAGGAAGGCGCATGACCTCGGATCTCGGGCTCATCCTGACGCTGTTATTTCGGACAGTACGTTTTGTATTTCTAAAATCTGTGCTCTTGTCTCCTCGTGGGTCTGTTTTCTTGCGGGGAAATTCCCTTGGCGAGCAACACATCAGAGATTATTCATTGTTCCCCTGTTCTTGCAATAGTCTCATTATCCTTTGAGGCCCTTTCTTTCCTTTTGTAATAATTATTGAGTCCTTCCAAATTGACTTTGGTTTCTTTTGGTTTTGTCTGTCTTCATCTAAAACACATTTGAGCCTGACAACACGACTTACTCTGACAATGTTAAAGCTAAATACATTTCCAAACTATGAAGGCATGATGTGCAAGACCTGGGGAAAATAGCAAATTTAAGGGTGCATAGGGGTCAGCCTGCTTATGTGACATTTAATCTTTGCCAGAATGTGTTGAACTGGCAGTAGCCTTTCCACGTGCTTTGCAATTCAGCAGAGCGATTGAAGCATCATTTTGCTGAAATTAACTGCTGCTTTGCTGCAGATTTTCAGTAATGCTCTTCAGGGTTTATTTTTGTTTTTCTTTTTGCAATATTCGGTCAAAATGGGGCAAAGTCACGGTGAGCCTTGTGGGAACCAGAGACTCACACGGTGCTGGGATGGCTCTCAGCATGTGCTTATCGTGCAGTGCCAGCCTTTGCTTTCCCAGTGCTTGCTTTGCAATGTGAAATGGGGGATATTCCTTCCCACGGAAGCACCACCTTCTTGGAGCAGCCCAGCTCTTCCCACAGGACTGCCTGTTTGTCACGGTACACGGCTTCGTTAAATCTTCCACTTAACCCTGCACGAAAGATTCGGCCATTTATCGTCCTTAAAATTGTCTTGACATTTCTGCCATCTCACAGTAAGACTGAACGAAGAGCGTTTGGTAATGTGTAGAAAGTAGTAATAGGGACACCTTGTTTCCAGCAGTCGTGTTTTGGACTTGTTGGGAAATGTCTTGTTCTTCTGGGAAGTTGTCCCAGATTAGCTAAATTAAGACGAAAGAGTATCTGAGGCTGCAGGTTTGAAGGCTTCCTAGAGTCTAGTCCTAAAAATGCTGAAAACTATTGAGCACAGTCCTCACGGCTCTTGTAAATGGCTAAACTGCACTTTGTAAGAACTACCATATGCTCCTGCCCCGAAATTTAGTGTCACCCAGTCTTTTATAGTTAATGATGCTGGTTTTTCCCCAAAGTAATAGCAAGAAATCCTTTTGTCTTACACTTGCCACGATTTTCTTGTGGGTTTCAATCTAACAGCAGAGCAGCTTCCCTTCAGTTCCCTCGGCCCCTTTGTGCCCAGGCTTTGTGGCAACAGTCCTCTGTTTTCTTACGCACCTCACATACCTCAGACCCTGATTTAAACTCTCCTTCCACTCTGCTGGTGCTGTTTTTCCCATTCTCTGTCCTGTTTTTATCCAGTTCTCAGGTCATTTTCTTTACTGCATGCCTCCAGCATCATGTCACTTGTTCAGTCTTCCCTGGTTTATTTTACATCCAAATCGGAGAGATTTCTGTCCTGCTATGGCCATCAGTTTGGCAAGAATCACGGAGCAGCTCCTTGCTTTCAGCTCTAGTACCGAGCAGGACATGCAAGTGATAAGCTTTAATTCATCAATAATAATAACGATGATTCTAGAATGGCAGGTGCCACCATCAGAGCTGTGAACCTGAACACACTGAAGTACCTCATTTTAGTTGCAGACCCCTAGAGACTCTCCTGATTTTGTGAGCTGTTGTTTTCCTCCAGTGTTTATATCTTGGCTGATATTAGGAAGATTTTCATGGGAGCCAAAAAAGGCCCTACTTGAATTCCCTCCTCCAAACTATGCGGTGCTGGAGTTCAGCAAAGGAAAGGTAGATGCAGTTTTTGAAAAAGGAGCAAATACATGTTGTTCTAATTCTCAGAAGTGGATGAATTATTTTGGCTGAAACTTATGAGGACCAGCGTGGGAAACGAGCCCAGATGCTTTGGCTGAGTTTTAGGCAACTGCGAGCAGCCTCGTCATAGGATGTGTCAGGCAACAGCGGTGGGGTGTGCTACCAACCCCGCCTTTCTGCTGGTGATGCAGACTGCTCGGATGCACTGTGGAAAGTTGGAAGAGCAGACAAAGTTTTATTGTGGAATAAATGTTCAAGGGCACAAGGACTTCAGCTGGAAAAAGCCTCTGGGGAAGCAGCTTTCAGAGAGGCTTTTTGCGTGGTTCCACTGGGAAGGATTTGTTCGGCCTGGGGAGACCTGAGCTCAAAGCAGAGATGGAGAAAAAAGTTTGGCCACAGTCTAGTCCCCATTTCTCAGAAAGTAAAAAAAATTCCAAGAGTCTGAAAGATCCCGTTAGCAGTGCCCAGCTGAGCAGTGTGAGCAGGCTGGCGTTAGGAAACCTTTCCTGCTCCCTGCAAGTCAGCGACTGTGAAATATCAGCGAGAATTCGGTCATGGTGGGGCCAGTGGGTGCAAACACAGTGCAGTCAGTGCAGGTGCCAGTCAGGGCTCTAGTTCAGGGGGCTGCATTTCAAGGATGATGATAAAGACTAAAGAGAAGGGTCGGATGTTACATTTCGGAGAGGGTTTTTTCCCTACCCACAGCTCTTTTGGCTGTGACACCTGACTTGTGCCATTGCTGTTACACAGCAGGGGAAATTTGGAAGAAAAGTCTGTGTTAAACGACATACTATACGTAACAGAAGTAGAAAAATGTTTGTAGTAATTTAAAAAGTTTTATCTCCTTGCATTTCTCTTTAGTGGCATTACACGTGCCTCACCTGCGTGTTAGATTGTTCATCAAGGGAAAGCTTTCGATACAGGGGCATGCACCGAACGTCATGTTGGTAAAGTAGTAAAAGTGTCAAAACATCTGTTTGCACAAACCTCCTCTAGGGCAGCCGGTGTAGCACAATGTAAAACCCAAACACATTAATGGAATTGACTTTTATGCAGAAAGAACACTGAAACGTGTGATTATGGACTATGATCACAGTAAGTGTGTTGAATAGGCTCCGTTCTTGTCTCCCTGTACTTTGAGGTGTTTCTGCAAAACACCATTCAAGCCCACCCTCTTTTGTAAATGTTAAGTGTTCTGCCTAATTGTGCTGTTAACGTGAAATCACCAGATGAAACTGGATGCTAATAAAAACTAGATGTCTGTCTTAGAAGGACTGAATTTCTAAGCACAATTCCATGAATTCTTAGGGAGGACCAATGAACTGGAAAATGCCTTATGCAAACGGAATGTCTTCATCTTATAGCTGTTTCAGAGTTATAACTTGAGAGTCCTGATTTTGGTGTGTGTTCTATTTCTCGCCTATATTTTTGCTTTTAGTGGCATTTTATCTTCCACAGAGACTTCCAACTTAGCTTTTGTAATCATGCTGTTTACCCTTTTTTAAAAGATGGATCTGATAAACAACTAAAAGATCAGAAATAGCTTTAGTTAGTGTTTTGTGACTTGCCTTTTGTAGCCAGACTGCGTGTGTTGGGAGTCACAGGAGTCTTAGCAACTATCCTGGATCCCGCTATTTCATCGCCCCCTTTCCCCGGTGCAGTGCAGTGAAGTGTGGCACTGGGCAGGCTGCGGACTGTCTTTTTAAGCTAAGGAAGGCTCCAAATCCTCCACTTTCTGGGCTCAGATTGCCTAATATGGTAAGGTATGTCTTCTTGGGCTGCGCTGCTTTGCTGAGATACAAGGGAAAGTTGACTAGTAAAAGGGAACAAAATAGGTGAACTTCTTGCTAGCTGATAAGAAAGTAAAATCTTTTTGTCTAGACAGCGCTATATGGTTCTGTTCATTTTGTGCCGCCTTGCTACTAGCCCAGGGTCCCTTCTGGGGACTAAGGGTGCAAGTATTTTTCCCTGGTGTTACCCCTGAATATTTACTTCTGGCATAGATGCAGTGTGACGTGGGAGGGAAGCACCTGGCCCATGTCCAAGGGAACGTAGATGGTACTGTGTGTCACTTGCATGACTCTAGTTAAATTACAGAGCATTTAATTCTGTATAAAGTAAGGCTGTGAGAGATTGGCTCTGTTTAGTCCTGTTTATAAACAAAATGCTGCGAGCAGAGACCTTTATTATGTGCACAACTGGCAACGTAAAGTCTAAAATAGCAGAAAATTGCTCCAACAGCATGTGCTAGCGTTTTGCCGTGGAGCTTTAAATATGGTGAAGAACAGTTGCATTGTGCTTCAAGTACCCCGGGTTCTTTGGGGGGGAACACACTATAGAAATTTAAATCTATTCTGCAAATATTTCTACAAAAAATGCTCACATCTGCACAGATTATTTGTCTCATGACTTCTCTAACCTAATATGCTTGTGTTGTTTTTTCTTAACCTTAATGTTTTGAGAAGGGCATCAGACTTGCTGTCTACTATCCTTGTTGATACAGCATTTAAATCATCAGCGTGGCTGCTCAGTTCCTATTTATGGCTCTAGAAAAACATATTGTTTGTGCTTAAAGCCAAGCAGTCCCAAGTCTGCTATGTAGACTACAGGGTTACAGCTAAATGTGTTCAGGTTAATTCCTCTAATTCACTGAGTTGCTGAATTAGGAAGGTGTAATGTGAAGCAGTGTCCATGATGGAGATGGAGATGAGTAACACAAAACCAGCCAAAATCTGATCTGCAAGTCCCAGG